GCCTACCCAGCCCTCCCCTTGTCTGGCTCCAACCTCCCTGCAATCTTGTCCCGGACCCACAGGTTGGGCATGGAGGAGCATCCGTACTCCAGCCGACTGAAGAAGATTGGAGAGCTTCTAGAGCAGGACACAGTGACCAGAGAGGAGGTGGTGTCTGAGCTAGGTGGGTAGTCCCCCCACAACCATCATCCTTCAGGGTCAGTGTTGGGTTCAAGGAGTCACACCTGCCTCACATTGTTGCCCCGGGCTGCTGTGACAACAGAGCCAGCTCCCTAGGGTCCTTGGCAGGTACTGACTGAGTGTAGCGCCTGCTTTTTTGCCCTGGGGCTGCAGCGCCTTCCACCTTACAAATAAATATCCCCAGGGATGGCAGCTGGCCACTAGTTCTCACAGCTGCTATTGATATCCATCATTGATTTATCTAGCATTTTTACTGTGTTCTGGGCACTGTGCAGAATGCTTTATCTGTTTGGTCTCGTTTCACCCTCACACGAGCCCTGTGAAAGTTCCTAACCTGATTCATTCTGCACAAAGAGTCAAACCCAAGATACGGGAATCTTGGTCATTAGGGAGCTTTCCCAGTCACCCAGCCAGTAGTTGGAAGAGCCAGGATTTGAACCTAACTACAGATATAGAGCCTGTGACTTTAGTCACAGCGCAGCTTGTAGCTGAGAGTGTTGACTTGTGGCAAATGGCAGGAAGCCTAGGGGTATGCGGGAGAGGGACGATCAAGTTCCCATAATCCGATGTCCCCACAGGGAATGGCATTGCTGCTTTTGAATCTGTGCCCACCGCCATCTACTGCTTCCTGCGCTGCATGGAGCCCGACCCTGAGATCCCCTCTACCTTCAATAGCCTCCAAAGGACTCTCATCTATTCCATCTCACTTGGTGGGGACACAGACACCATTGCCACCATGGCTGGGGCCATTGCTGGCGCCTACTATGGGATGGAACAGGTGCCAGAAAGCTGGCAGCAAAGCTGTGAGGGCTATGAGGAGGCAGACATCCTGGCTCAGAGCCTGCACCGGGTCTTCCAGCAGAGTCTGTGAGGGCCCCAGCTGCTGGGGCTCCGCCGTGTTCAGTAGGATCTACTACAGCTCAGGCTGGAAACCCTGAGCATCCTCAGGTGTTGCTCCCTGCCTCAGTCTTCCTGTAGCATGGGCGGAGTGCACCACTGGGGCTGGGGTCTCTTGGGGAGGTCATTGGGACAGTGAGTGAGAGAGTCGTGCCTCCCTGGTGCTGGGTTTCTGGCTTGCTGCAGAGCTTTGGGCACCCCTGGCTCCTCAGTCAGGCATGAGGAACCAGGGCAGGTTTTATTGGAGGGGTACTTTGGGCATTTTCCTTTATTGTCTAGGACATGGAATTGTGGGGGGTGGAAATGATCTGCAGTAGCATCATTTCTCCTTGTTGGGATTTAGCCAATTTGCCAGATAGTCTGTCTTTGACTGGGCAGGGCCCTGAGCAGCAGGTTTCTAGGGATTGAGGAGATGGGCACTTGAATCTAGCTGATCTCCATACACATGTTGACAGCTTCCAGCAGAAGCCACAGAGCAATAAACAGTTTTCGGTAAATCCCACCAGTTTCCTCTGTTTTTCCTCTGCCCTGGATGGATTCTCCCCGCTTGACCTTTTGTGCCTAGTGCCTGTCTGTCTGGGCTGAGCTCTCGTAGAAGCTAGGATCCTAAGGCGATGAGCTGCTAGGTTGTCGAGGCAGATGCCTGCGGTTCTTTCAGCTGTGTTGTTCAACCAGGAAAGGCAGAGTAGGCATGGTTTGGTGTCTTTTCCTGTTGGAGATCACTCAGAGTGACCCAGGCAGGGGACAGGGAACAAGCCAGATTTTCTTGCTTTCAGAGCCTGATTTCATAGGTTGCTCCCCAGGTAGGGCCCAGCCAGGCCCAAATCAGGAAGCCTGTAGGAGGGAGCAGAGGACACCTTTTATCACTGGACTGCCAACCTTTGGGTGGGGAAGGTGCCTCCTGGGTGCTCTGGGTGGACTGAAAGCTGTGCCTCATTCTGCATCTTGAGCCCTAGTCAAAGGCTTTGGCCTGTTGGGATGTTCTGCATACTATCCATTTCAAAGAAAGGAAAGTTGAAAGGGAGGAGACACCTCCAGCATCCTTCCAGCTCTGGGGGAAAGAAGCACGCCCTCTGCGGCTAACCTGAGGTTTCAGGACTGCTGGGCAGGTCTGCCCTCTCAGCCAAGGTAGTGTTCTGCCTGGCTGGGCAAACCACAGGACTTTGCAGGCATGGATTGGTCTCAGATAGGTCATTCCAGTCCCCACAGCTAGGGACAGATCCCTAGCTGCCAACCATGGCAAGCTGTGGGGCAGGTGCTTTCTGCCTAGCACAGCTCCACCAGCCCTGCTGTAAAGCATTTGGGCCTGGCATTAGCCCCGCCCACAAGAGCAGAGATTCAGGATTTCATTCATAATTTGTATCATATGTTGAAACTTGGCCCTTGGGATCCTGAGCCAGCTGTCATGCTCCACTACCCCTGAGAGCTTGCAGGAATGTTCCAGGGAAGCTTGATCCATCCCCCCACCTCCAGCCACTGCTTACTTTGGTTTCTTAAAATGCCTCTTGGCATTTACTTGGTGCAGAGCCTTGACAGCTTAGGAACATTGAGCGTTTCTGATGTGACAGAACCCGTAGCTGGAAAGCTCCTTGAGGGCACAGAGCGAGAGCCCCTGTAAGCTCCCTGGATGCCTTATAAAATTCAGACTTGAGACCCCTCTACATCAAGGCCAATGCCAGCACAGTGCTGATTTACACAACAGATTTTATTGAGGCTGTGTCAATACAGTCAATACCATTGTTTTTCTTTTCAAAAAGAAGTCCTATTTTCTTTGATTCCCAAGTGCATTTTTTCTGAAAATTGTGACACAGGGCACATAATAGGTATGTAGAGAACTAAGCTGCTTCTATCAGGTTAGAAGTGAAATTACTAATGGAAAACATTTAAACCTTAATCTTAAAAAATGAATCAATATAAAAATGCACAAGGTAATGTAGTTTTCATTGTTAAAACCTGACGTCGTTTATCAAAAAGCTAAGTCAGTTAAGTAGACAACACCTGGAACATAACATTTTGGAAGCACCAATCACCCCTCTCAAAGGCTTCAGGAGTGACAGCAGAAATTCATTTTTGTGAAACAGCTTTTTTGACTCCCCTATAACCTCCTTAGTGCCCTGGGTTCCAAATGGGAGCTAGTGAATTTCTGCCCATTGGAACCCCTCCATAACAGGTCAGACGGTGGTGGTTTTGACCCAGGAAGGAGGCTGAGCAAAGGGCCCACCAGGAATGGTTTGAGACAGCTCTCTGGGGTGTTGGGGAGTGAGAACACCATGGATCCCAGCCAAAACCTGTTCTTAAAGTGTCACTTGGGCAGATTTGGGTTTTCCTTTTTCTTTTGAAAGTCAGCATGAGCAGTCAAATGGTCTGCTTTGTTGGGAGAAATTGTGGGGAGGAGGACTGGCAAGGGGCCTGCAGGAACCACAGCTCAGAATCAGAAGTCGACACAGATGGTCTGGTGGGGCCAGAACTGGAGCAGCACAACCAGGTCAGGTTGACTGACCCAGGCTCACACTTGGTCCAGGGCGGTGAGCTAACTTAGGGAGGGCTGAAGGAGAGGCCCAAGCCACTGGGAGAGTGGCTATCCTTGTAGGGGCAAGAGTGTCCACCACCCATATCCCCTCACTAATCTCAGCTTTATCCACTCAACTTGGACTAGGGGCTGAGGGGAGTGGAGGAGAGAGGAGGGGTATCCTGCCTGTTTCCTGCAGGGGAATTCTGATTAAGGAAAGTGGCAGAAACATCCAGAACCAACTCATTTCAAAGGAGTCTGTTGGCACCCTTTTTCCCAGAGCCTCAGCCTCTTAGGCCCTAATCCCGCTTAGAACAGGAAATTGGAACCAGAGCTGGGAGGAGAGGAAGCCCCCCCCCCCCCATTAACCCCTTTAGTAGGTACATACATACATGTGGTTCTTATTAAGGAAAACCAGGCAGAGCCTTCATCTGAGCTTGTGTGCACCTTGTTCTGAGGGCCAAACAAGAGGCTGTGCTTTGGGGATACTTGTGTTGGAGATGTCAAGGATCCCTTAAATTCTGTGTAAGAAAACCAGCCCTCCTCCCAGAAGGTGAAAGGAGATAAAGAGAGGAATACTCTCGTTCGCTGATAGTTGACCCTGCACTAGCTGGCCTGGGCCCCTCCTTAGGGGCCTGGGCAGCTGCCCTCTTGCTGAACAGAGCCAGAGCTGGAGGGGGCAGTTTAGGAGATAGAGATGCATGTGAAGACCTGCCATCCTGTCCCAGCCCCGTGCCCCCACCCCTCACAAACCACCGTTCCCCGTGGCTGTGGCTGGCGCCGTGAAAGGGGGATGGCCATGCACCTGTACGTGCCTGATGCCACAGCATCACCCCGGGACTGCAGTCCTGGCAGGGTTTCCACGTGGCCCCCTCCTCTCCCTTTCCCCTGGAGGGAAACAAACTCTTCAGGGGACCCACCATCATATGCTGGAGGTCCCAGGGGAGCTGGAAGAGCCCCAGCCAAGAACTGAGGGAGACTATGCCTCATTCCTTGAGCAGGTACCATCTAGGGGTCAACAGGAAGGGCAGGGCTTGGGAATATGTCCCTCTAAGGGGATGGATGGGGGAGCTCAGTCCCCTCTCAGCTCTGACTCACAGAGAAGCAGCGTCTTTCACCACCCAGCAGAGCCCAGGACTCACAGGGGGCAGGGGTCTCCGACAGCTGGACCGAGTGTCCTGGGACCCTGCCTGCAGGCCAGGCAGGGCAGGAATGGGGCCACAACCCCGACACTGCACAGGCACTTGGGGGAGAGGAGGAACTCAGGCCAGCCTCTTCCAGAAACAACCTCGGCCAGCATGGAGGGAGAAACCGTCAGTCTCCTTGGGTCAAGGCCACGGCCATGGCTGCCTCTGTTCCCACCTCTGTTCAGCCTTTGGATTTTCTTTAAATGCAGGTTCTTTGTAACTGAGAAGTTCTCTCTACCACTAAGGAGGAGGAGGCCTGGGCAGCAGGGCCCCACGGGTTATGTGGGGCAGAGCAAGAACCCTGAAAAGGACGAGTGGATGTACTCGGTGGAGTAGAGGCCATTGGCCTGGTCCGAGGGCATCTGCACCCAGACCTGGTCGTTGGGTCGCAGCTGGAGCACCGCCCCACCAGACGCCTGGTCCAGGTAGCCTTTCTTGTACTCGTCGTAGGTGTAGGTGGCTGGCACGTTGTTCTTGTACAGGGCCACCCACACATTGGTGCCCTTGACATGCACGTGGTAGGCAAAGTAGTAGACCCCGCCCACAGGGCAGGTAAAGATGCCGGTAGCTGGGTTGTAGCCACTGTGGCCATTGTAGAGAGTCCGGTCAAATTTAACAGGCATGCCTGAGGCAGGAAAGGGCGAGGTGAGCACAGCGGTGAAGGCGGGTGTGGCGTGGGCTGACAACTCGCCCAGCCCAAACTGCGGCTTGCCCCCCTTGCCCAGCACGGCGCCCTCCACTCCACCATTGGGCAGGTGCAGGCCGGCGATGCCAGTCTCATCGAAGGCCCCAGGGGCGCCAGGGGGACCAGGAGGCCCCGGAGGGCCAGGAGGGCCTGTGAGTCCTGGGGAGCCGGGGACTCCAGGGGGCCCTGTAGGCCCAGCCATGCCAGGTTCCCCTACTTTCCCCTCTCCAGGGGGCCCTGGCAGGCCTGGTTCACCCTTCAGGCCTGGCAGACCTTGTGGCCCAATAGGGCCAGCTGGGCCCTGGAGTCCTGGGATTCCTGAGGGGCCCCTCAGGCCAGGCTGCCCAGGAAGCCCCAAGTCACCCTTCTGTCCCAGGGCTCCTGCCACCCCCGGTCCCCCAGGGCGACCTGTGAAACCCTGCTCGCCCTTGGGCCCAGTCGGTCCAGGGGGTCCATGGGCCCCTGGAAGTCCCCTCTCTCCTGGGAGCCCAGGTTTCCCAGCCAGGCCACTAGGCCCCTGGTCACCCCGAATGCCAGGCACTCCTGGGGGTCCTCCAGGCCCTACCTCCCCCTTAGGCCCCGGGGGCCCTCGTCTTCCAGGGAGCCCTGCAGACCCTGGAAGTCCAGGGGGGCCTCCAAGGCCCTGTGGGCCCTGCTCCCCTGGTTCTCCATCTTCACCTGGCTCACCCCTGTCCCCCAAGAGCCCTGGGACCCCAGCTGGACCTTTGTCCCCTTTGGGGCCTGGTAGTCCTGGCATACCATAGCCAGTGGGCCCTATGAGGCCAGGGGGACCCCGAGTTCCTGGTTCCCCTTTGGCCCCTGCTGGGCCCTGTGGCCCTGGCACCCCTGCCGACCCTGGGATCCCCACACCATCTACCCCAGGGGGCCCCTTTGGGCCCAATGCCCCTGGCTCCCCCCTGGGTCCAGGCACCCCAGGAGGGCCAGACTCACCCTTATCTCCAGGGGCCCCAGGAAGCCCATCCAAACCTGGTTTGCCCAAGCCAGCTGGACCAGGGAGGCCAGGCGGTCCAGGGGCACCACCCTGACCTGGGGCCCCAGGCAGCCCTGGCTGACCCACCCCATTATCCCCCTTGAGGCCTCTATCACCTGGGGGCCCAGGCTCCCCCTGGGGCCCTGGCTCCCCCTCAAATCCTGGTGGCCCTGGCACCCCCTGGGGGCCTGGTTTCCCAGGAACAGCAATGCCTGAAGGCCCAGGGAGACCAGGGGGCCCCGGTGGGCCCCGGAGGCCCTGGTCCCCTCGTATCCCTGGCTCCCCACGAAGCCCTGGCTGCCCTGGTGGTCCAACCTTGCCCGGAAGCCCTGGGGGACCAGCCTTGCCCATCCGGGAGAAGCCAGGGGGGCCGGCGGGGCCAGGCTGCCCATGTAGCCCTGGCTTTCCAGTGCCTGGTTTTCCTGGGAAGCCAGGAGGGCCAGGGGGCCCCCGAGGCCCAGGTTTCCCAGGGGGGCCAGGCTCTCCTTTCAGATCCATTGGCAGCAGCGGCAGAGGCATTTCTAAGGAAAGAAAGGTAGAAGGGGCAGTCAGGGGCCTGGTCAGTGGGGACAGAGGACCCATCTACCCACTCCCTACACCAGTATAAGGTGCACTAGGAGAAGACAAGGCTCTGTATCTGTTCGTGAAGACCAAGCCCTGCTCTCCCCTTCCCTGCTCTCACTGAAGATGGAATTTATGTTGGTTCCAGTGGCAATCTTGGGGGCTTCAGGGTGTCCTCACCCAGGGCTCCTAGCATCCAACCTATCCAAGCTGGGTCGTCCCTAAAAGTTTGGGGAACCTCTCATTCCTGCATGACCTAGAGTGTAATGACCGCCAGGTGGCGCCAGCAGCCCTCCGTAGAGACAGTTGGTGTAGAACCACCCCCCTCCCAACTTCCCCACAGACCTTCCTGCCCCTCCTCTACCCCACTAAAGACCCCCACTGCCGGCTAGCGGTTTCCCAGCCCTAGAAGGGTGGGAGGCCCTGGACCAGGATCAGGAAGAAAGTGGAGTTGGGATCTTTGGTGGAGATTGAGGGGCTGTGACCTGGAGTGGGGAGGTGCCTGAGATGCAGGTCGGGAGGCAGGGAGCTGAGGGGTCCGGAGTTGTCCGAGGCGCTGGGGGTGGGGGTGGGGGTGGGGGCGAGGAGGTGCTCACCCAGGTACTGGCCCTTGCCCTCGCGGAAGGGCGGCCCCACGGGTCCTTTGTGCATGGGCTGCACGTACTTCACCGGTGTGTAGCCCGCGGCCCCGCCGGCCCCGCCGCCAGTGGCCGCCCGCGGCCCGCACCCCAGCAGCAGCAGCAGCAGCAGGAGCAGCAGTAGAGGTGGCGGCACCGACAGGGACGTCAGAGCCCACCGCATGGCGTCCGCGAGCGTGCTGCAGGGAGGAACCGAGAGGGGCCATCAAGCCAGCTTCCTGGGTGGTTTGGCACCAAGCCCAGGGCTCACAAAATGATCAGAATTTAGATATTATTCACAAGTAATTCCCAAAGTCTTGGAGTCTGCAGAAGTTATCTCCTAAACCTCCCTTAAGCCTGCCCATGGTTCTCCATTCCCACTGCTGTCTTGGGCCCCTTCCCCTGGAGAACAGCCTCCCCCACACCAGTCACTCTGCAGCCAGACACCCTTCCAGAGCACAGATCTGACCTTGGCAGCCCTTGCTCAACACCCTTTGATGACGATAGCACCTACTACCATTTGCTAGGCTGGCACTCTGCCAGACACTGGGATGAGCTCTCCAGAGATAGGAATTCAATCTCCCCCAACACTTTAAACAAGGTATTATTTTTGTCGTCTGCATTTTCCAGATAACAAAACTAAAGCAAAGGTCTCTTGGAAGCAGAACTGGGATTTGCCTTAGCTCTGTCTTTACATTATGTTGATGCCCATCTGGGGCTCCCCAGTGCCTTCAAGATCGAGTCCATGTGCTTAGGATGGCATTCGAGACCTGTTATTTTCCAAGATGGGAATTTTAATTTTTATTGATAAACCATGATTTCCTATTGAATACATAATATAGTACAATTACCAATAACATTTGAGCATTTAAAATTTTAACTTTCAGAATCACTTTGATCAATATACAAAGCTTTAGTTTCTGGGAAAATATTGTTTCAGTTCAACAGTATGCAAAACAGCTTCTCAAAATAGGGGATTTATGAATAAAATTTTATAAAGCTTCCTGTGTGCAAAAGAAATTGACTACCACATCAACTGCACCCTACTAAAAATCCAAAACATAATGGCTGGAAGAACCTGAATACAGTCACATCCTACTGAAGCTGTCAAAATCTACAAACATGGAACTACCCTCAGCCACTGACTCAATACACTGGGCAGAAGAGTGGTAAACTGTGGCCTGGTATCAACATGAGAATATGCTTAGTCTTAAATAGGAAGCAACACCTATGTTAATATCATCCCTACTACAGAGGCATACGCAAACCAATGTACTAGTCCTTTAAGGGAGAAACTCAGAAATCACCTAGGAAATATCTGTTTTCCCGTGTTACAATGATTGAAATGAAAATGACTTATTTAGGGAATGATGTAATGTGGCACTGTCTTTTGATGAGGTACATGAAAATATAACTCATTGGCTAGAAATTGTTTTGAAGTAAACCTACTCTCACTGATATATACTTGAGCATGTATATTTATAGCTTAGTTTCCTGAAGAAAGTAGGATATAAGGGCATTTTTTTTTTTATTGCATTTTAGAGAAAGAGGAAGCGAGGGGAAGAGAAACATCAAGGTCAACATCAGTAGGCTGCCTCTTGCATGTCCCCCACCAGGGATCAAACTCACAACCCGGACATGTGCCCCAACTGGAAATCGAACTGGCAACCTTTCAGGGCAAAGCACGATGCCCAACCAACTGAGCCACAAGGGCCAGTGCAGATAAAAAGACCCTTTAAATCTAATCTGTGTCTCCAACCCTATCATTTACTGTGCCTTTCTTTGCTTCCCTCTTCCAGATCTCTGCCTCAATAACACAGAACTCCGAATGGCTCCCAGACACCAGGCAGCCTCACACCTCTAGGCCTGTGCAGCTGCTGTTTCTACACCCGCATTGTTCTTCCCCTCTTCTACTCATCCTTCTAGGCCCGGGGAAGCTGTCACCCCTTCCTCCATAAAGTTAACCCCTCACTCCGTTTTGTCCCAACCTAGCTCTGTCACAGCTAGCTCAGCTCCTGGGTGTGAGGAAGCGCAGGCTTTAGATTGGGACAGCCAGCTGAGTCCTCCGCTCACCAGCAGGGGGAGCTTAGGCAAGAGGCTTCCACTCTGAATCTGTTTCTTATCTGTAAAATGGGTTAATGTGCCCACACAAAATGATGTATGTGAATGTTTATAGCAGCATTATTCATAACAGCCATAAAGTAAAAATAACACAGATGTGCCTCAACTGATGAATGGACAAAGTGTGGTATATCCATAAAATGAAATATTATGTAGCAATGAAAAGAAATGAAGTACTGATAACATGCTACAATACCGACAAATCTTGAAAACATTATGCTAAGTGAAGACCAGTCACAAAATCATGTTATATGAGTTCACTTATATGAAGTGTCCAAAATAGGTAAATCTATAGAGATAGAAAGTAGATTTGTGGTTGCCTAGGGTGGGGGTAGGGAGATACGGGGAGCGACTACTAATGGAGACAGGGTTTCTATTAGGGGTGATGAAAATGTTCTAAAAGTGATAGTGGTGATGGCTGCACAACTCTGAATATATTATTAAAAACCATTGAATTGTACACATTAAATGAGCCAATTACATGAATCATATCCCAATAAAGGTGGTGCTTTGTTTTGTTTTTTTAAGATTTTTATGGAGAGAGGAAGGGAGAGGGAAAGAAACATCAATGTGAGAGCAGAACATCCACAGGCTGCCTCCTGCATTCACCCTCCCCAGACTTGTGCCCTGATGGGGATCAAACCAGCAACCTTTTGGTGCGCGGGACAACACGGAACCAACTGAGCCACACCAGCCAAGGCAAGATGTTTTGTTTTTGTTTTTTTACTGTGCTAACAACCTGCTCCTAGGACTACTGTGAAGATTAGAGATACTGTGTCTGCCTCACGGTGGACACCTATCAATATTTGAATGGGGGACTATATGGCATTTTGCACACCCAAGGGAAGTCTCATTCCCCTCAGATTTCTGCTCTGGGCTCCCTTCACCCCACCCAGGGGCCCCTGGGCCCAGCACCTGGCCTCTGGAGGGGCTTGGAGGAGAGGGTTGTGCACACTGGGGATGCAGGTAGGGAGCAGAGCCCTCCCTGGTAACTGGGGTGCATCTGGAGCTGCAGTTCAATGTCTCTCTAGACTTAGTATCATGCAGAGCTTTGCAGGAATGAGTGTGGGGCTCCAGAGAAGGTATGTGAAGCTGCCAACGCAGCTCTGGGGTTCAAATCCCAGCCCTGCCGTCAACCTGTTCTGTAACCTTGTGCAGGTCTCACACAGCCTCCCCGAGCATCGGCCTTATAGTAATACCTGCCACTTACAGAATGGCCACTGGCTTCATTTCATGGAATCCTCTCAGTGGCCCCTCCCCCACCCGAGGCTCATTTATATCCTCATTTAATAGACCCTGAAACAGAAACTTAGACTGCAAGAATCTTGTCCAGGACCCATGACTAGGAAGTGTGAGAGCTGAGGCCTCATCCAGAGCCTGCCCTCAGCATGGGCCCCCTGCTCTAACTGCCACGTGATTGACACCAGGACTCATGAGGCTGACCATGCAGGCCTGGCCTTCAGTCCTGCAGATAGAGGCTCTGGCCAGGCACTGCCCTAACCTTTTACATCCCAGCATGTTCAGCCCTGTGAAGCATGCTAGCCCTGTTTTAAATTATTTTTTAATTTATTGATTGATTTTTTTAGAAAGAGAGAGGAAGGGGGATAAAGAGAGAGAAGCATTGCTTTGTCATTCCACTTATTTATGCAATCATTGGTTGAGTCTTGTATGTGCCCTGACTGGGGATCGAACCCACAGCTTTGGCGTATCTACTGCTCTAATCAACTGAGCTACCCAGCCAGGTGCTCGCCCCGTTTTAGAGATGAGGAAAACGGTACAGTCAGGACCTAAACCCAGACAGTCTGACACTTGAGCCCCAGCCCCTAACCACCTCACCATCCCACCTCACCTGAGCAGGAAAAGGGCCCTCCTGCACTGTCTGGCACCTGAGCTGGGGGCCCACAGAGGTGAAGGGGGAGCAATGGTGACACACCCACAGGACCAGAATGTTCTGCCCGGTGCTGGCAGTGGGGTGCAGGAGCAGGTGGAGGGGGGTGGAGCATGCGGCAGGAAGCAGGGGCAGGGGAGTGAGCCATTCTGGCCTTAGTGGGCCAGAGGCCAAGGTCACAAGGTCAAGGCACCACCACAAAAGGACTCAGGACAGCCTGGCTCTGGAGACCTGGGAGTGGGGAGGTGATGGAGGGGACAGGCAGCCTCAGGCTCAGCTGGGAGGACTGTGGAGGAGCACAGGCAGGCAGGGTGCTAAGGAAAAGCCCCAAGTCTCGTTAGGAGTCAGGGTAAGGCCCCCTACAAGCTTCCCACCTTTCATTCCTCCTTGGCAATGGGGCTCTCCAGGGAGCATCCCTGCCTCAGCCCCTGTGGCTTCCTGAGCGTGCCCCATCCCAGCACCTCCTGCACTGAGGTGGGACAGGTCAGCTGCTGGACCCCCCAGCAGGTGCTTCCTCTGTAGTGAGAAGTGTCTGGGGAAATGACAGCTCCCACTGAGCATGTGGACCTCCTGTCACGCACCTGCCTAGGTACTTCATGTTCAGTATATGATGTAACTGCCACCTGGTCCCTGGGAGAGAGCAGCTGCCGAGAGGATTCCTTTCTGCAGGTGAGGACCCTGAAACTCAGAGAGCAGTGATGTCTAGAGTGCGGCTGGATTTGAACAGAGGGCTGTAAGGAACCTGAGCTCTTAATCACTGTGACATCCTGCCCCTGGGGGCTGGGGGGAGGTAGGAGGTAGGAGAGGACAGCCAGAGAGCAAAAGCCAGACTGAGAGAGAGAAGCAAATGGAGAAAAATAGTGTCTCCTGTGGCCAGGGCCAGCCCGTGTGGCTCAGTGGTTGAGCATTGACCCCTATACCAGGAGGTTGCCAGTTCTGACCAATATTCTATCTCATCGATGTTTCTCTCTCTCCCTCTCCCTTCCTCTCTTTCTAAAATCAATAAAGAAAAAATATATATTTTTTTAAAAAAGAATCTCTTGTGCGGCTCCAAGCCACCTGTGGGTTTGAGGGGGAAGATTACTCCAGTTCTTAGAGGGAAGGCTGGCATGTGCCAGTCCGGGTGAGGGTTGGGAGATGGGAGCGAATGCATGGTGGAGAGAAGGGGTGCCGAGCCTGGTCCAGGGGCTG